ATACTTAAAACCAAAAAAAAAAAAAAAACTAAAAAACTAAAAAAAAAAATTACAAATCCTTCATTGATCTAAATGTACATAGATAATACCCAATATATACATATATTTGTATCCTAGTATTATATAATCTAATATTATTTCGATTTCTTGCCCCTTTTTGTATTGCGTACAACTCAATTCAATTTAAGTGCCAAATGCACGCATCTAAGAAAAAAACAAATACTAATTCTACTAAATCGAAAATACTAAAATATATTCCTAAAATTTCAGAACATATTCTGAATCTATTTGGCACATTCCTTAAATTTGGAGTGGGTTTTAGGACCAAACTGTTGAGAGTCTTATAGTAATTTTTGTTAGCTTATAATTTATTTAGTTTTTTTGTTGTATTTTTTTTTTTTTGAAACAATACCAAGAAATACCAACAGGAATACTATGCAAATACTACCAAAATAATAAATAACATATCCTAAGACACACGAAATTGAAAAAAGAACTTTTTCCGCCAGACAGATCACACGTACAAGGTATCTAGTAACACTAGACAACAAAACAACCCAACTGAATAAATAATAAATACTAACTGCAAAATACTAACAACTAAATGATATGAGAAAAAAATATACCAACTACAAACGAGCTCTTCGAGAAGTTTGTTCCTTCCACCATTTGGTTCTTCTGATACCACCTAAAGAAAATGTTTATAACTGTTATTATACATATGAAACTGAACAATTACGAAATATTGAATATTAATAGAGATTATCATCGATTTTCCACAGTTACAATTCATTCTTTTGTATATATATTTTATATATATACAAGAACTTGCTTCCGTTAATAAACATATGCATTTTTTAAATTACCTTAATTTACTATTTTTTTTTTTTTAAACAAACAATATATTTATATAACTATATCTATATATAGATTGACAACAGTCAAAAATATTGATTGAACAATATGAAAACGGGAACATTTCTTCAATAAACTTTACAATCACTCCATGAACTAGTTCATTTAATTCAATCTACTTAGAAGGGAAAAGAGGAAGTCACCAAATAGCAAGCAATAGATGAAATAGATTGGGTCACATCTGATTGATTGATTGATTTGGGTACTACTACTGAGCAAGCAAGAGACTTTAAGCTAAATGACAGATATAAGGGAGCAATTGATTGATCGATCGATTGATTGATTGATTGATTGATTTGGGTGCTACTGAACAAGCGATAGTTAAATCTAGAATGAGTCACATTTGCATGAATTATAGAGAAAATAGTTGAATAGTTGATCAATAGATTAATTGATGCAATCAATGAAGAGGCCTAGGCCAATTCATGGTTGAGTGATTGATCATTGATTAACGATTGATTGATTTATGTTTGATTCATGACTGATCGTTGATTGAGTGATGATTAATTAATGATTGATTGGTGATTAGTTTTTGATTGATTGATGACGACTTATTAATTGATTGATGATCAATCGATGATTGACTAATGACTGATTGAAGATTAATTAACGACTGATTGATGATAATTAATTGTTGATTGATTGATGATTGGTTGGGTGATTGATTGATTATTGATTGTAGATTAATTGGTGATTGATCAATGACTATTTAATTAATGATTGATTGTTTATTGAACGTTAACTAAAGAGCTCAAGACGAAGCCAAGTAACAAATGCAACAGAATAGAATACAAATATTGATTTGATAAGTTTGATTGATTGGTTCAATGATTGTTTCCATTTCCGAGCACACACACACATACATACACACATAGAGACGGACACAGATACACTTAAAACGAGTATGATGTACCTAAGTTTTTATTTATTTAATAAGACTGAATTTCTGCATATGATTTAGTTGAATATATTATATACATACACACAAACATACATACATACATGCATACACACAAACATATATATGCATACATAGAAATATACATTATGATTATTGTAAATATATTTATAGCATTTAAAAACGATATACATACATACACTATACATTATACTTGCATATATATAAATATATACATACAGATATATATATGTATATGTATATATATACATACATGCATACAGTTTGAATTATTTTTATGTATATATACATACTTAGCAACTTTACAACTTTAGCTAATAAAGCATCAAAATTTTAAGAAATATATTCTCAACTCATTTAAAAAAAAAAAACAAAATAAATGAAAATTAAAAATTAAAAAAAAAAAAACCTAAAGAAAAAACCCAAAAAAAGAAGAAAAGAAGCAGTAAAAGTAAAAGAGAATTTACAGAAAAAGCTATTATACATAATATACATATATATATTGTAT